CTCTATTAGTTCAAAATAATATAATACTGGCAAAACGTCGGTCTGTTCGGATGTAAATAGTCAAATAGTAAAAACCCACCCACCCACCCATAACGTCGATTCGACGTTATGCGTGGCAACATGAATATGGACGTGGCCCCTAATCATTTTTAAGTACAATCTAACAACAATATCTTCAGAATATATGATCCTTCATCACATTTACAAAGAACTAAATTTATTATTGTATATTTTTATCAATTTGAGAGACTTTTGATTCGTGATTTTGATCAATTTCTATGAAATTGGGTTCGTGAAAAATGAAAATTGATTCGTGATTCACGAATCACGAACCGTTATTTCGAACCCTGGGAGAAAAGGAAGCAAAATTCCGGCGCATCATCATCGACGTCAAAAAAACAAAATAAATGCTCTTGGTCAGCCGAACATGTCGAAAAACTGTTGTGTTGGACTATATGATCAAGGAATACATTACGCAATGTGAGTAATAGACCACAACATTGAAATAACAGACCACAACATTGAAATAACAGACCACAACACTGAAATGCAGCAAGTAAAGGCCCAATAAATAGCATTACACAACTTGCCGCTAAAACTTTGCGTTTCGGAGCCATTTATCTAATACAGACGGCTTAGCGACCACGCATAAGTAGGGTTACCCTATCGGGCAACATAGCCCTAGGCCAAATAAAAATAATAGTTGGTTTCAGGTTTCACAGCCATGTTTTATATGGGTAGGTAGGTAGGTCGGAAAAGCATTTTATTTAAAAAAAAATTTTATCTCAAGTATGCAATAAATATAAGTTGTTTATGAGTAACTGTCACACATAATCAGACGTGCCACATGGGATCAACCGCGAGCTACACATGTTTTGTGAGAAATAAATGCATCAAGGATTAACATGACTAGGTAATGATTAAATTATGAGCAAACAAAATACTTTGTAGCAAATGAGTCTGATGACTATTTATATATTCTGATATTTATGAAACGATGATCCCTATGTCAATAAAATGTTTATGGTCGGTCATATTTTTGACAGGTCGGTCGGAAACCTGAAACCAACTCTTATTTTTATTTGGCCCTAGCAGTAGGGTAACCCTACCTCATGTAAACGCTCGCTTTTTTCTGACCCGCTTGCTAGGGTAACCCTCCTAATAGGGTCACCCTACCTCCATGTAAACAGGCCCTTAAAGCAGTTATTTAATTAATAAGTATATAATTTATAATCATGGAAAAATTGATGAGTCAAGCCTACATACTACAATATTGTACCCTGCAACACAGCAGAAATATGATATCACATACCTAAATTATAGCTGACCTTGGTCTCCAATCATGCATACAAATTTATGCAAATCTAATAGTGAACTAAAGTCTTTTGAATATCTTGACTGGCCAATTAAACGGTTGCTATGAATTTATTTGAAGAAACAATTTACTCGATATTTGCATGGCTGGCCACCTGTCACCACGCAACATAAAGGTTTCAGTGTGAAACGAGATTTCTGTGTAAAAACTGAGTTTTTAACATATGTATTTCAGGCTTTAACGGAGATATTCCACGCGGAAATAGAAATACTAATTTCCCGTTGTTTTGTTGTGACGAGAAATCCAAAATAATGCAAAATCAAATACTAGAGTCAATACACATTGTTGTTTATAGTGAAAATGCAAATGCTTTTATTTTCACAATTGTAATTATTCAACTACATATTTTCTACCAAGAAGTCGTCAAAATGAAACCATAAACGGATATATTAAGAATAGTTATTGCGAGTTTCGGAAACGTTTTTGAGTTGTCAAGTGAATAGGCGCGATAAAGGTGAGGCCCCCCATGATGGCCAATGAATGCTCGCCATTTCTGAACCAACCTTCGCTACGCCACAAATACTCCCACGTGAAATAAAATAGAACCGCTACACAAAACACTAAAATACGTCTATTTAAAATCGAACTGTTTTATGTCGTATAAATTACGTCCTACCAGTTAGTCTATGTCTTTAAGACACGGACATTACATTCCTTGATAATGTTTTAAAATCGTATTAATGCCACAGATACGTAAAACGCAATGAAGCAAAGGATTTTAATATTCTCCTATCGATAAAAACTGAAATAATATAGAATGCTAGAATAGTTATGTAATATCCCTTTCAGTTCCAAAAAAATACGGAAAAATATCTATAGTATAAAATTTTAGTTAGACAATTTTAAACACGAACTAGAATATATATGATAATATAAAGGTATAACGTCAACGGTAAAATTCCTGAGGAATTCTGTTTGCGTGTCACCATTAAATTCTCTATGAATCCTTATTTTATGCTCTGTACTGTACAATTCTGAACCAAACAGAAGCATGGCTGAAAAATCATGATTTATATAGAAAGTATAAAAATCAAGTTAAATCATCGATGCTACTATATGAACACAGACACGTAGGCCAGATTTATTAATATAAGCATTTCAAACAGATGGATTTAAAACAATACCCTATACAAAATAAAGACGCCACACGTTCATGGCATTTAGGTCTATGATAAATTCTGATATTTCACAAATAATGAAGACACTGCAACATACCACAATTTAATTCATCGCCTCCATCAGTACAGTCCGGGTCGCCGTCGCATAGAAACTTTTCACTGATAGACATGTTCGCCCCATCAACACCGGTGGTATTACACTGACAAATACCGTTTACATCACAAGTTAGGGCTGAAAGAAATAAATACACAATGCTTGAAAAGTCAATACATATATAATTTTCTAGTCTAAAACTCGAAAGTTCTTTCAACGTTTCTCTAGAATTAAATATTTATGTAGAGTCCCTCCCTGCTCAATTCAAAATTGAATTTATTTTTACTATACAAAATTTAAGCGTTCCTTTGCAAAACTTTATTTCTTTCGAAAACATACGATTACCTGGAAGCTAAGGCACAAAGATACCGTATTGAAATCTGACACCATATGGTGGCAAATTTCATTCAACGTTCACAGTGACACACACCGTAGATGTTGTACACACACGATAGTTTACATTCACTCGCTCTATGACTATTCAATAAATATATTTACCTGAAACATTCAGCAATTTAATGCCACAAATAATAAGAACAAGTCCGTGAAGTAGCCACAAATTATTCCAATGAAAAGTCATCCTTTCTCTGGTTCAAGGAAGAAGTAAGAAACAACACCTTTATAGCTTTACTACAGCTCTGCCCGGCTCTGTTGACTGTCGTTGTTTGTAAAATCCACTCGTGAACCTCAATCCTCATGTCCAACCGCGTGCCTCTTTTAGTCGTACGAGATGACGTCACACCCCTCTAAGCCAATCACAGCTTGCTAATACATAGTGGCGCGATCTAAAGCAATTTTTTCTCCTGCTAAATAATTAATTTAAATTAAACTTTATTTGACTATACTTTGCTAAAATTTGCGAACAACGTACTTCAAGCAAAATTTCGCATTGGAAGTTTTGAAAATGTCGTTTTAGTACTTTCTACAGTAGCTTACTGTAAAAAGTGCACAAGTGCTTTCTGTTTCTTTATATGCATGTTTGTCCTCCGTTGAAGATATGAACACTTCCTTTTTGCCTTTTATTACAAAAAGGCCTGTGAATGGCGGACCTTGCGCGCCACACATTTAGGCTCAAAACTGAATTTTTTTCTTATTATCAGGCACCTGCATGGTGTATTTAATATCTTTTGTCCTTGAACAATGCAATTTAATAGACAGTAATAGCCATCGCTGGCATTACTCCATTAAACTCGCCATTAAAGATGTTTTCATTCTGCTTGTATTTTAATGTTACTTAAACGTATCTATTTCACATGTAAAAAAAGGGTTCAATAAGTCATGCTATTTTTATATTTAGATCTCAGAATGGGAGAACTGTTAAGTCTCAAAATGTTTCATGGAAATTAGAACTTTTGGAAACACTGTCTAATAGTAATAATTATAATATAGCTGCTTATCATAGCGTCTTATGTCACGACTAACGAGTTATGAATTACTACAAAGCCAACGATATATGGCAATTCCAGTTAGAACTTTGTTCGTGTACGGGTCAACATGCAGTGTAATGTGACTAGTTAGGAGTAGAACAGGAAATTCGCAAGATTATCATGTGTTGGCATTATCCTGATATTTGCATGTGCATGCAAGACGAATGACTAAAAATGGACAGCTGTACTATAACAATGCCTGGACGTGACAAGAATCATCTCCTATACTATAGGCTATAATCTCACTCTCCTATAAGACTATAAGTAGTTTAAAATTGTATGCATGTCAGTTGCCGGGTACCAGTATTACTCTTCCTTTAATTTAAGATTCTTCATTATAAAGGAACTGAACATGGACTAAAGAGTAATGTACTAATGAGTAATGACTGTAATGTTAAATATGACATGCATGGCCATGCCATGCATGGCTTTTGGTCTATTAGGACCTATTAGATGTTGATACTCCTTACGGAAGGAGGAGCAGGCGACCACTATACGTTTAGGAAAAAGATCAAAGTTTCAGCATCTGAGGATTCTGAGCTGTGAATGTGACCTGAGCAAACAGTAGAAAAGAATACAGACAATAACTCTCGTCGATTTTCACATTACTCATTACGACATTAGCCAGCATTTCTTCTTATATTTCAGAGTTCAGTTCTTTTCGGAATGCCCAGGTAGGCCAAATATTTTTGCTTAGGAAACGGTACTCTATATGCATGACTATCGGCCTATATAAACAGGATGAGTTCGAATTGGTTTGTTCTAGTATATATAGCCATGATCCTCATTTATATATATGAACACGTTTGTTGCATTACTCCACGCCACTGGCAGTAAAAAATGCACATGTGTCTGTGATTATACCTAATACCTACAGCCAAAAGGTTAATATACGATCTAAAACTCAACAATGCCAAAGAAAAGGATGCAAGGCGATATGCTTGGTGATGTGGACTGTGGTCTTCATCAAACCAGTCAGAATGTATGAGGTGATGTCATGTGATGTCAGGTGATGTCAGACCACAGTTATAACTTGGCAAGTGCATGCACATGCGATTGAGGGACACTTCTTTAGAGTTATGGTGAACCTTCCTATAACTATGTATATTTCCTTTCTGGCAGCAAAATAAAAATATGAAAGTTAACGACTATCGTGCATATTCCTAATTTAAGATTTACAAAATGCCATCGTCAGCAAAGTAATGAACATGTAATACAAATGCGAACTATAAATATCGATTTTCATCAGATCATATTGTGAAGCACATACACGTGCGTATCACATGGTCTTCTATATAATCCCTAGTTTTCTTGATTGGGATTAAAAATACTCACTAAATCAGAGTTGCAATCCATATTTGGTAGACATTTAGACCATGCATGTAGGATGAATTACCACCCTTATTCTATTAATATTTACTTCCCAAGTCAGACTGTCAAGAACGGCATGACGACCTATATGCATCAGTTTATACTGTATGTTGGGCACATTATGCTAATATTTGGAAGCCCAGTATAGTTCCAGGTTATTAGCTATTGCATGCGTCATCAGTTTCTTCTAAAATTATGAACGCATCAGCATGCAGGAAATACTCGTGACTCTGACTAAGTTCTATACAAATTCATTTTAACTCACTACGCATGTAGGAAATACTCGTGACTCTGACTAACTTAGTAAGTTCTATAAATTCATTTTAATTCACTACGCATGCATACCGTAAGTTGCATACCGTAAGTTCTACAAACTCATTTTAATTATTAACTAAAGTTATATGGAAAATGTATTGCGCTCATGCGCAGTTTTGATCAAGCCGCTCATATATACTCTGTCTATATATATTATATCATGATGTCTATATATATTATATCATGATATATATATATAAGCGCCCTGGTTTTGATTTAGCATTTCAAGAATGGTCTAAACGAAAGATCATGCAGCTATATAGGACACGGAAGAAACAAGAGTATAAGACTCTGTATTTTAATATCTACATTATTTTTAGTCCATGCATGACAACAACAAAATGCACACAACTACTATTATTTAATTAAGGTTTGAGTGGGTTGCATGAGCTTTACTATAAACTGCAGAGATTAAACAACTATATATAGTAACTTGCGAGGTGGGCAGATATGACTAAATAACAGTGTTGTAACGAGTCGAGTCATTGACTCTGACTCGAGTCAACAAGAGTCGCTATTTTCAGCGACTCGACTCGACTCGAGTCCAATACGAAAAATGACTCGACTCGACTCGAGTCAACAGCCCCAAATGACTCGACTCGGACTCGACTTGCTGATTTTGCCTTAAATGACTCGAGTCAACTAAGCTACAACTTGTACAGAATAAATTCATCACAATTATTGTGATTGTATTGCTTGGGAAGAACAATGAGCCCTGTGAACAATGAGAACTTCGAAACTTTATCAGAAAATATATGGGATTTGCATAGAATATATTCCTGACGGGCATACCTATATTACATTTCTGTTTTTAGAAACAACGCTAGTGCCACAGTTTTTAAAATTGAGTCTCAAATTTTTTTGTACTTATATACTAATTCTGACAGGCTATTTTCATTTTTGGTATTTATAAAGGGCTATGTAATTTCAAATTAACTTACAAAGCGTTGTTAATTAAAGTCTATTCTTTGTTCATTTTGACTCCAGTTGCAAGTTTTGCTAGTTGTATGTACGTACACTCGATCAGCAGGCATGATGAGACATCTCATGTGGTTGTACTTAATATTGACTAGAACTGTGATATTGGCACAGCCTATAGCTGCCCAGATACTGTTATTAAATGACTAAAGTAATTAGTTTAAAACGCAAATTTGATTACTAATTTCCTACTGCAAGCTAGGTCAAGCTCAAGTCAAGTCTAGAAATTGACTCGACTCGACTTAAATCAGTGACTCGACTTGACTCGAGTGAAGCCGCTGACTCGACTCGACTCGAGTGAAGCCACTGACTCGACTCGACTCGACTCGATCAAAAACTGAAATGACTCGACTCGACTCGTGACTCGACCTATAGGTGACTCGTTACAACACTGCTAAATAATGATGCAGACAAAATAAAAATTTGTTAATGCATATAGAAATGTATATAAAAAAGGTCCCCAAACCTAAGCTTAAACTGCTTAAGTAAACTTTTTATAAAAATAAAATCTGTAATTTTACACAGTTGTATTTGAGAGTGTACTCCAAGTTATAGTTTTACGTGGTCCGTGGATACTGGATAATTATATATTAAAGCTGCTAAAACACACCAAAGATAACGACGTGAACGTATACAATTCCTTTTTTAGCATGATCTGAGTGCATGGGAGTAATTACATACACTAGCTATAAATATGCATCATGCATGCGTGCATTTGATTCACAGTATATATATATAATGGCGGGATCGTGGATTCTATTCTTAAATGACACAGTGTTTCAACTCTATTTGCATGCATGAGAAGGGCTTTTTTCGTGTATTGCGCCGCAATGTGTCCTATACTTTATTATTAGTTCACTCTGCTAACGCCAGGCGATTTTACTCGTTAAAGGGAGAGTACAGGCCCCATGCAGTAGCGACGGAACAGGGAAATGGATGAGATTCCAAATTTTCAAGTTTATATATAAAAAGTGGGCAAATTTAGAGAAAAAATTCAGGAAAGATGAAAGAAACCGGCACGTACATGTATTAAAAATATCAAGTAGGAAATAGGTAAGCCCCCCTCCCCCGTCGCCAACATTTCCGGGAAAAACTTTTATTGCATGTTGGAGAATTTATAGAAATTATCCCCCTTAAAATAAAATTGTTCCACCGCCACTGGCTGGCGCTTCAAGGGTTAAAATTTAATATTTTAACGTGCTTAATTTTTAATATGTTGTGTAATCTATAGTCTATTGAGATCTGTACAGACAGTGGTGTGAACTGATACGTCCGTTATCCTGTCATTGAGCATGCATATCCCAGATAACCATGCAGATGAAGTGCATTCATTATGGTACCAAAACCGCTCAAAATATCCTCAATTTATGTTATCTATACAGGTGTACATATTTGGAACGATAGGTATAATCATAAGCTAACGCCTGCAGTTCGTTTGTTTGTTTAACCTGCATGATCTGTTCTACTTACAGCTCTTCGTGGAAATAGATAGACCGTGGCAACTTTTATGTTTTATTAACATGTTGCAGGTCATTTTAAGTTGCAAAACAACACAACTAAGATTATCAAGTCCTGTTTTTAGCCATATTTATCTCCTGTTGAGTTATCGTATGAAATACAGCTTCCACTTCATCTTCTGGAATATCCTTGATAGCTTCACGTTTGTTAGCCAACGCATTCTTAGCCATAGTTTTGTTGCGATAACGTTGACCTGCGTCCAGGCGTAACATTCGACGATGCTAAAATATAAAAATAATGACGTGGTGAATTTTATCAGTCTAAAATCAATCAAAAATCTAAAAATGTATTATCGATATAATACAAAACAATAGATACTCCGAAAATTGAAAGCATTTTGAAAATTTATTTCGACGTTTCGACTAAACTATAGTCATCATCAGGACATGAACGACTATAGTCATCACTCATTTCCTGATGATGACTATAGTTTAGTTGAAACGTCGAAATTAATTTTCAAAATGTTTTCGATTTTCGGAGTATCTATTGTTTTGTATTTTATCAAAACACTCAGTGGTTCCCGTAATTTATTATCGATATTCTATAGAACCATATATTTCTGTTCTTAAAAGATTATTTTTGTAAAAACTGTCTCATAAACCATTGTTTATCCAATGTATACGTTGTATATCATCCTATGGGACAATTGTGAACATGCAGTTTCAAAAAGTAATTATCAGGGAAAAAATTAAACGGGAATGTATAAATAACTCCACTAATATCCACAAAAAAGTATCCGTTCGCCTTTTACTGTGACAGATTCTCATAATTACAGTCACTCGTTTTAGCCAATCTTTATATTTTGGACCAGTAGATATAATTAATACAAAGTGAAGCAAATAGGACCAAATATAGCATGATGAGTCATATAAGACTGTGCCAAAAAATAAACAAGTCATGAACTAACTTCGTTTGGAGACACATAATTTGGATTTTCATAAAGAGTTGCCCCACCAAAACTTCCTTCAAATATCCGTACAAGATTCAATACAAATCTGGGACCTGTATAAAAAACAACGAAAAGGAAATAATCACAGAGGAAAATTGCATGTCTATATCAAAAGGAAGACAAATTGTTTCTGTATTAAAAACAGAATTAGGACAAGTAAAATCACACTTATTGCTTGTGCATGACTAAACGTGCAAAAGAGGCTCGTATAAATAAATATGACCTATGACCAGCCTCGTCCCAAGGCGCTTTGATTTGCTGCGCCGTTTCGTGAACAATGGAGAACCCGTCCACAACCGTCCACTGGGTCTTGCGTCGCGCCACGAACCCGCGCGTCTGAGTTGGAGCCTGGGGACGAGGCTGACCTATGGCCATGTCTATGAGGCCAAGCGGTCGCGAGCCCGCAGACGATTCATTCCAATTTTCCATTTCCCAATCGAGCAGAGGACTGGGTCTAGTCGCTTGTTTGGAGAGACAAAACATAAACAATATGCCGAATATGGCATCTAGGAAGTTTTCCTACATTCCTAAAGTTATTTGTGCAGACATTATTTGTACTGAAATGCAACAATTATAATAAGGCATTTTTTAATATATATTCAGCTCGCTCACTATAACTTCTTGTCCCTCCCATCCTCGTTCCCAGAGCTCCTCGGCAGCCGAGAAGCCCTGGGAACGAGGATGTGTCCCTCCAAACGTCTCCAAACATCAACTAAACCCAGTTCTCTGCTCGATTGGGAAATGGCTAATTAACAAGACGCATCGTATAACTCCTTTAAATTTTAATTGTTCTGGAAGCATCTTTGACACTTTGTTTTGGGAGAAATTTCTTTTCGAGAGAAAAGCATTTTTCTAATGCTTTCAAAGCAAAGGAGCGTGCTATAGTCGTTTTTATATCTGTCAGAAATTTGGCAAAACCCCCAGAAATTTGGCCATGGTAGGCAAAACAGAAAACATGGAAAATATGCTAAAATATGGTTGAGACGGTAATGTGTATGAATGAATAAATATTGATTCGTTGATATATACGAGTGTTTCCTGTTATTCATATAAGTATTCGCAATCACAACCCATTTTGTTTGAGATAACTGGCAAAAATATTTTTTTTAAATTAGGGTAATTTTTCAGAATGTTTATATACAGGCCCGGTCCATTAATTGGTATATCATGATATTTACATAATATCGGTATATATTAAGATTCATGCAAAGCTTATCGAACACTGAGTTAATTAACTTTCTAGAATAGACTCATGATATATATATATATATATTGAATGTCTGATGCTTATCAGTAAGACCATGAGTGAACTACGCTCACGTAAATATCTCATCGTATATATATAGGTGTAACAAAATATGAAAACCAGACAACACAAATTACCGCATGGTTATATCGGTTATATTTATCTACATAAGAAGGGATGGGTATACAAGCCTGCATGGAATAATTGGTTAGCACCCTGATACCTACGCAGTATAACTCAAACTGATCTGGTTGTATATATATATATACACAATCTTTAGTACTAACTTTACTCAACTTGGACACAACATCTACATTAACTGCTATCATATTTACATAGGTATTTATAATAAGATTCAAAGCTTAATATCCAACATGGCAACATGCATTGAACGAGCATTCTGGGATCGACCGACAACAAGTTGAATGTCTGGACATCGGTATTGATCATGCGGTGCATGTAAGTACGCTCACGACTCACGTAAATATCGTATCGTATATAGATTATAGATATAACAAAACATGAAAACTTATAGACAACATAAATTACTGCATGGTTATAATAATCTAAATGAGAAAGAATGGCTGGAAGCCTGCATGCATCCTAACTCAAACTGATCTGGTTGCATGCATGTACACAATCTTATGCAAGTTCGGTTGACGCAATAGCTCCAACATAATTGATGAGAAATAGGCATAACCTAGCTAGATCTATCTTGCATTTTGCAAGATATATAATATATATCAACATATTATCATATAGTCGGACAAATGAAACAAGGCTTTAATTAAGCATGCATACAACTCTCCCAAACTCCCAAAGAACGAAAACTCGTTTGGACCCAATAATCCAATATAAAGGCCCACCCGCAATGAATTAATTCCCAGCATCCCACGCGGAAACAAAAAGCAACTCCCCGCTAGACGAGCCATTAATGGCTTGTGAGAGGATGGTTGTGCAGCATAGCGTATATTCAAGCGACATTTTTAAAATATCTCAAATATTTTTTTACGAAGATACTATAAGCAATGGTTTTGCGATAAATGTTTTCGTTACATATATGGGTTGAGTACTTCTTTAAAATCTAACGTAGTCACGAAACAACATTCCTGACAATATTCTGATTTTAATGCATAGATCAAGGACTGGGCTGTTTCGGTGCGAGCTGGTTAGTATATATAATTAGTATTGATATGTGTGATCAACCCAATCGGGCCAATGTAATATTATGTACACTATATATATATAAAGATTACATTAAACATTACATTAAAGATTACATTAATTAAAGCACTGGAAAAATAGTGAAATTCATATTATGGAATTTGCAATTGCAGCACTAAATCTATAGTATATTCATACTATTATCATATTATGGATTTCCATATTATATAATATTCATATTATGGAAATTGCAATTAGTACGAAAATTGGACTTCAATACTATTTTCAACTGAGATCCATACTATTTCTAAAGTAAGGTTTTGAAAACAATTGACCATTTGCGTAATAAACTAAATTTTGATCTAGACAAAAATTTCATCACAGCTTGAAAGAGCATCACAAAATTAGTAATATTCCAAAGTTTCGTCGCGAAATGTTGTAAAATGCGGAAAATACAGCCTTGCGAAGTTTGCAATTTTCAGTCATTTTAGATTACAAACGGGAAATTGACAGCCCCAAACCCTTCGAGGCTGTAAACAACTAAATATATTGTATTTACTCTCTATACTCTGAGTGTATATCCATGCACACCGGGCAGGCTTGAAAAATATGCCTGGCCACGGCGGGATTCGAACCTACGACCTTTGGAATACCAGCCCAATGCTCTTCCAACTGAGCTACGTGGTCAGGACGGTTCGAGTATGCGATATTTCGGAACTGAGTCTAGTTCCTTCGATATCAGTGTAATCTAATAATCATGAAATCTGCTGTGCTGGTGTAATGTACTCAGGATACTGTAATCTAAATACATATGAAAATGGAGAAGTGGCATTTATCGAACAGAGAAGCGGCGAGCCATTAAAATGGCGGCAATTTGACGAAATATCGAAGGACACAATATCGAAGATAAAATACACTGCACAGTTCCAAAACTTCATGAAACTTGGGTGAAATACTCTTTAGCCATTTATAATTAAGTAAAAGTACAACGACTGGATGATATTTGCGAGACTCGGCGATAAAAAGCAAACAAGACGGCAAAATATGGCTGAAATCGTGTTTTCGTGGGGGGTAAGTGAAATAAAATGTATTATATTAAAAGAAAACAAAGACAATCCTTATGAAATCCACAATAATTATATTGAACTAAGCATAGTTTTTCATCCCATGATAATTTTTTTTAGGAAATAAGAAAATTTAATTTCTGCCAGGCATATTAGTTATTTTGTGCATAATCAGCATTTTACCTGGGGTGGTGCATGGTCATTTTCTGGTAAAATATTATACTTAGACAAATTTTTCCTTCCAATAACCACCCCTAAAAGCAACCCTTCTAAACACTACAAGCACTTCAGAAAGGCTATTGCTTTTCCTTTTCGGAAGTTAGAGCTATGTCGACACTGCCGTTTCAGGGCGGGGTCATTTTCAGGACTTTCGCCCCGGATTCAGGTTTTCGCACATATGCCATGTTGACCGCCATGGTCATTTTACCCTAAAACAGTTGAGATTACCTGTCCTAAATGAATCGCATACAAACTCATATACAGGCCCTAGACTTTGCGAAATGTTGTAAAATGCGGATAATATATAGCACTGCGAAATTTGCCGTTTTTCAGTCATTTTGCATTACGCGAGGGAAATTGACAGCCCAATAACCTTTGGGGCTGTCAATGGACCATTCCCCAATTAACCAAAATTTTGATCTCAACAAGTCTAGACAAAATTTCATCATGGCACGAAAGAGCATCACAAAATTAGTAATATTCCAAAGTTTCGTTGCGAAATGTTGTAAAATGCAGATAATATAGGCTATATAGCCTTGGGAAATTTGCAATTTTCAGTCATTTTAGATTACAAACGGGAAATGGTTACCACTTTTCCAAAATTTTGATCTTAACTAGCCTAAACAAAAATTTCATCACAGCTTGAAAGAGCATCAGAAAATTAGTAATATTCCAAAGTTTCGTTGCAAAATGTTGTAAAATGTGGATAATATAGCCTTGCGAAGTTTGTAATTTTCAGTCATTTTGTATTGCGCAAAGAAGTGGTATCTAAAATGACTGAAAATTGCAAATTTCGCAAGGCTATATAACCTATATTATCCGCATTTTACAACATTTCGCAACGAAACTTTGGAATATTACTAATTTTGTGATGCTCTTTCAAGCTGTGATGAAATTTTTGTCTAGACTTGTTTAGATCAAAATTTAGTCTATAATGCAAATGGTCCATTGAAGGTTATGGAATTTCTATGATGTTTTGCAGTAATGGATGCAATTATATAATTAATAGTGCCTGCAAGCAAAATTCAAAATTTCAGCATGTGCCTCAGTGGAAAAGGCTAAATACTGTTAAAACTAGATGTTAAAATGTGTCTGCACAAATTCAAAAGGTGTCATGCATGTTCTCACGGCCTTTCATCGTTCTGGTATTCATAAATGTACAGAAATCAGTTGCCGGAAATGCCAAGTGCATCCGCTTAGGAAATTACTGTAACATGCGTCATCTATGAACCGACATGATGTAAATATGACATATATTATATCACTTATAAAAATTTGGAAAGATGTTATAGGTCTTATAGAAAATATTTGCGCAGAAAAAACAATTATTTTCTTTTTAAAGCGATGCTGCGCAAGTAAAACCTGATATGAAAACTTGGGAGTTGCACGCGTATATCAACGACGATTTTCTATTATAATATCATGCATGTCGAGCACTGTATTATTCAAATGAAAATCCAACCACATATACCTATACATTGTATTATTCAAATGAAAATCTTACGACTTTCAGAGAGATTCTTTTAAAAATATATCAAGTACAATTGTCGGCCAAGCATGTGATAGGAAGTATAAGATAATTCAATTGCGCCGTTCATTAGTGTGGTATCTATATATGAACAGGTTTAATGTATCTGCAACTGAAATCTTTAAAAAGTTTGTTAACAGGAATACACGATACTGAAAATACTTCTAAGCGAACGAATGTATAATGTTTTCACTGGTGAGCATCAAAGCAGGTTGTCGTTTGGACTGGACAGTTGTAAGTGGGTTTTAGACTCGACATGTAACTACCGTGGGAAGATGTACAATAGCGCAACTCAGCAACTGTCATATAGGTAGACATAGTTTGAATACTGCAATTTAAACAACAATTTAAAAGGATTCCATAGGCACCTGTAACTTCGCACTCCAAATATTTGGTCCACCACCACAGTCGTAACCACTGTGAGAAGATGTAGTCTGAACTAATCACAAAATGGTCCTTAGCCAACGGTTCTCAGTCAACAATACCGCAAGAAATGTACGTGCAATAACATTAATTAAATTACTATGCACAGTTTGGTAAATACATTACTTTTTCAGATGCATGCTATATGGACATATATTTCCCTGCGGAATTCCCTAAGCAAAACAGGTGGCGCCTGATATTTTCCCCTAGCCTTTCTTGGCTTGTATATATCAGACATTTTCCCTCTATATAAATTGCCCTCCTTCAAAAGCCAAATGGTTAGCATATTGCTCCCTTATACCACCCCGCCCACTTCCGATGGACCATAAAAGCCGTGCGAACGAGGATATGGAGCGAAGCGCACGGAGCGGAGCGCACGGAGCGGATATGGGGATAAAGGTGGAACGCATATGGGGATAAAACGCGGATATGGTTATAAAACTACATTTTATGGCCGATTCGTTGTGTGCATGGCAAAATAAACTTTCTAGTTTTAAAGCTTAGATATAGGCTAGGTAATGAGAACCATATTGGAACCACCGAGTTAAACCTACTGGAACCACTGAGTTAAAGCACTGTGTTTAATCTATATAACAACAGTTCCCATTTCACACTACAATTTTCACGATTCCACATGCAGCGAACTTATAGGGACTGTTGTTCCGCTCTGCGTTTTACCCCCATATCGGCTTTGTCCGTCCGCTCCGTATCCGCCTTTTATCCTAACCCACTTAAACACAAACTTTTTATATGACAAATGATGTAAAACTTGACAATTATATACGACTCTTGGCCAACTCTAGATCTCTGTACCACCACATGACTTAATCCTGCCCAGCCTCCGTGGTTCCCACGCCAGCGGAAATATGTTGGAAACGAAACTTCGCACCCCCAATATTTCACATAGTCACTTGCACTGCTTGAAGTATACGTCATATTTCACAATTAATGATGACTTCCTATTTTACCACATGGCAAAGACACGTCGCCAAAGAAGATCATGTATATATACATCGTAGTTACAAAATTTACGATACTGCATGTACGTACCAATCATTGAACATAGTATTATTGCAACTTGAAGTAGGTCAATATATATTAGGGATGTTTTTGACAACACGAACGGCATGAGTAACGTTAAAAGACTGGGTCAAGAATGTTGATTGGTTGATAATGTCAAATTTGCTTCCGGTCAACGTTCGTGTTGTCAAAAACGCCGCTTGCTTAAGCTCGCTATTTTCTCACAAAACACTCTTTAAAATTATGCGATATGATCATATTGGATGACTATTTGTGTGCGCGGGAATCAAAGGCACTTTCTAAATGACCTGAGTTGATGGCTTGCAGTCCTCACATGAAGTCGTCATTATTATCATCCCATAATGACAATTTGAAGACGCGTCAGGAAATCAGACCACATGCTGAGCATATAATCAGTTTATTAATTACAACGTTTCGTCTGGAAACTCCATCTTTAGGTTACTATATTTCCGACATTCCCGTTATAAAAATTTATTTCAAATTTGGCGCATTGTTTCTATTAAAGCAAATGAGTTGTTGGATATAACACTACTAGAAATTGAAATATTACATGTACATTATACTGTAATGTACATTATGAAATCTAAAAGCCTAAATGTCAAACAGCTATAAAACCTGAATTTTTTCTAAAACTATACTTGACTGTGTTGTTTTGGTATAAAAGAGTAAGATTCCTTGTCATGTTTACAAAACAGGACATGACGTCATTTCCTAGACGTTTATCCTAATCATAGGACGTACACATACCACCGGAACACTTCATAGGAGGATGTCCTTCATATTATAAATTTTTGTAATGAATGTAATCAATATAAAGACTCTTTAGGTTTATATAATATGTTTGGCAGTTGTGCTATAATTTCGGAGAGTTCTTGATCATTTTAATTTTTTTTTATATTTTATAAGATCATTTTATATATTATCACATAATCGTATTACTGAAATACCTGCACTGAAATTTAAACTATTTTGCGAGTTTTTTAATCTTAGCGAGTCAGTGTTATAGATCTCTCTCTCTACTGTTGTACACTAAGGGTAACGCGCCTTGTAATTATATATAATTTGCTTAAGGCTTGAACATCTGGGGTCTGAACATCACCGCACGAGAAGATTGTAACATATATATTAGGAGGTATTTGGCCACACAGTCCCCATTAATACTTTCGGGCCGTTTTATACACATTTGCGTACCTAAACCATATATTAGATTGAGTCGTTTACAGTGTTTCCACATCTTGTTTTAGTAGCTGATTTCAAGCAATATTCGGTACCACGTGATTCTATTCTGAGCCCTTAGTTTTAGCCCTAACCTAAATTTTTTGAATGGGTTGGTAACTAATTTATTCAGAACAATTATGTAAACTCCGAACATTCTAATCTCTACCATAATAAAATGTTTGTATCAATTAAGGTGACCTTACATTCTATTCACTAACCTATTTCGAGAAGAGAGCCATCTTGAATTATCTATATAAGTCCAAGAGTATGTTTATAAACATTTAATAAACAAATACATAAAGCTAGCTTATACGCTATTTGGATCGTTGCTATCAGCGTCCTGTTGCTATCCAACCTAACCCAACTTTGAATAACTTACATGCCTAATTACCATTGTTCTGATTTACGACAACATAAAGTAGAACAAAAGTATACGATTTATTCCATCAGGCCAAGGTTATTCACTCAGGGCCCTTCCATTGACTGGAAGAATAGTAACTATAGGTACAGTACAGTATATGTAAGTTATTCAAAGTTCTAAATAAGGTATAAACAAATTATCATACATTAATAGAACATTCACAAAAAAAATGACCCACAACCTACAGGTCAAAGACGCCCAACACGTTGAACTATACCTGGTAATGGCGGTACCAAATACGATTATCATCAATGGTGAAACACATCACGTGATCATAGAACGGTTTACTCTTTGGGTGAAGATTTGGAGTACCAAATATCTAACAAGAATGACATATATTTCAGTGAAATATACATGTAGTTTTAAATAGAGGATAACCCTCATTCTTGGTGTCAATGTAAAAACTCAAATATAACTGTACCTGTGTAAACATTTCTTTTAACAACAAATTATGTGGGGTGAGATCAAAACTCTAAAACAGCAACATTGCGCGTGAAATCCCATACGATTTAAGCATGATGTGATTTATACATTTTAAAAGTTATTTTAACTTTTCCAACGTGCAATAAAGTGATCCAAACACAGTTTACAAGATTATCACCTGGCCTAACCTTATCAAATGATAATAATGGTCTTGACCCTTTTAAACAATTTCCAGTTAACTTCAATTCATCCATTGTATGAACTATGAAAAAAAATATATAAAAATTAAAACTAAAATATTTCAAGGTGAAAAATTCTCTTATATTCATTTTGGTAGCTATATAGCTGCAGTCAAAATGGAATAATGAATAATCTTGATATTGTAACTATAAACGAAATAGCTGGGGGAAAATGCTTAGTCCCTCACCGTTTTCAACAAGAAATTTAGCTGATGGTCCATGAGGAGTGCATGATATCCTAAATGAATATAAACAAACACTATTAGCCAGTTTCATTGCATGATCTGTCAATTATAACTATAAGATAGTATTTTCTCTATATACATATCCAGGTGATCTCGTGTTCGTATTTAAGCCAATCAGCGCTCAGAAAGGGTTGTCCGAATAGAAATCCATTTTGATGTATTCAGTCAATTATATCTTTCATTATTCTTTATGAAACTAGTTGAAATTTTGTAATTATGTTTGGTTATGAGAACTATAGCTCTGATAAAAATATGGAATCGAAATAAAGTATATTACAGGAGATATTCAGTTGTTTTAATCATAAAATGGATTTCTATTTGACAACTAGTGCCAGTACTTTTTCGCGTATCAAGATCACCTGGATAATATAACAGCTTTATCCTCAGTACTATATCTAACAGCTAGTGCCTAGAATGCATGTTCATTTGACCTAATCGTATTTTCATAGACTGGTATCTTACTGACCAAAACACAGATCAAATACATGCCTATGCAAATGTCTTGTTAAGCTGATCAAGATTCATGAGAATCATATGCAGAGTTTTGTTACAGTAAAGCTTAGAAACAATACCAGTTTGTATTAAATTCATATATGTCCCTGGGCTAAATCAAAATTATTATATCATACCAGCACGAAAATAGTATAATGTAATGCACTACATACAGTATTTTCGTGCTGTTATGGCATAATTTTAGCCCAGACATATATGCATGTTCAAATGGTTAAAAAAATCACCATAAATCAAGATATTTCAATATTTCTACAAGTTTATGTAGGGTTTTTTAAGGGGTTAGCTTTCTAGGGGAAACTTACCACATAAATAAATCAGATTTTTTCCGCATTTCAAAAAATATACATTTGTTGCAGTTCTTCATTTCACAAACCTAACAATTTAAATTCAAATAAAGTTGAAGTTTTAAAAGAAAAACTAACATTTTAAATTCATAATAAAAACTATTTATAAACATATTCAACCTATAGTTTAATTATTTAACAATTATTTGAATTTCGCTAGTGTTATGGTTTTCGCATATGAAGAATTATGAATGCCGACGTTTGTGTTTTCAACAGAAACCGAAGGCTGATGTTGATAACTCACGAGTCCCTGATAAATCTTCATATCATGCGAAACCTGAATTCAATAATTGTTTTATTATTTATTTAAAAGATAAAAAAGACGAATAGTTTTATTTTTCCCATTTGCAGAAAATCTCTCAAAAGTATACGTTAGATGTTTCAAAACGTTTCCTGCATGGCTGTTTTCGCTGATATTTCTAAATTGTTATAGAATTATATATTATAAAGTTTGCTTCCCCTTAAAAAATGAGGTCAAGTAGAAATAATTATACAGTCCACATGCGCAAGAAATAGTATTATGCAAGAAAATGAACCAATGGTAACTGTTGATAAATTTATTGTATAAAAAGTTATTTAATTAACTGAACAAAGATATTTTTCGTAGGTTCATATGATCCACTTTTCCTCAAAAACATTTTAATTTGCGTAGAATCAAAAACTTTTGCGTAAAGAAATTTAACTTTATGACTCACGTGGCCGGATTTAAGAGATTAAGAGCCTTATCTTCCTAAGAGTTTGCTTCTTTTTCACGTCTAAACTTTGGTTATTATATACATGACAAAATTACTGCAATCTGATTGGTTAAGAGGAGTGCAATTATTTCATTAATTGCACTCTCCAGGAGTGCAATTAATGATTTTCGTGATGGCTGGGGGGAGCGGGAAATCAAAACAACAAAATCCAATATGGCGGCGAAATTTAGGTAAGTATTTCTAACAAATGTGGACGAAATTAACTGAATTTTGGCACAAGAATAAGTTTAAGAAACATTGTATGGCAAAAAGAGCCTGTGGAAAATACCTGGAAACAGTCTTAAGAAATAATCTTGGCGGGATGCAGCGAAACGTGACTATGTAAGTTTGAAATACAATTTATAAAGATTTTCTTAGTCTAATTCTGTCTAAAATATGTTGTTTGAGTTTGAATCTTGTGTTCTAGTTTAAATGATGTGCGTTTATGAGTTTATAATCATTTCCCAAGTTTGTTTATACCAAATTGCTTACAAAAGAATTAAAAACTCTTGACAAAATGCAGTTGAAATATAAAGAAAGCGATTTTGTCATGTATATAATAAATAAATATAATACTCGTGATATTTGAAAAATGTGCCAAATTGCACTCGCCTCGGCGGCTCGTGCAATTTTGGCACATTTTTCAAATATCACTCGTAGTGTTAATCATTAATTGCACTCCTTCCCGTGTGATTAACCTATACTAATTAATCGTTTTGCACCGAAAGCGCTCGATACATCCCGATCAAACCAGACTTTTTAAATTTAATTTATACTTCTTTATATACCTTAAATGTTAGAGGACTCATGATTAAGGTCTAGTCGTTTTCTGTATTTTCTTGTTTGTTTCACTTATATCGAGTGAATAAATAGCCATGTTTTTGTTTTGAGTAATAAAACTTAAAATGTTCGCCATTTTAGTTCTTGCGCATGCGCAGACGTTTTCCCGCGGTGTTCCTCTGGGGCCGGTTGTTCAAACGCCAGTTAGCTTAATCCTAAGTTAACGCAAATTTCAAAGCAATCTTCCAAACATCATGTTTATAAAAACATGAAGATAGTTTTCCAAAATTCATGCCTGTATCAATAGAAGTTTTATTTTCTAAAGTTTTGAAGTACACAGAAGTGCAAATGTACCCAAACTAAAACAATAATATAAAAAATCTAATAAACTGTGTGGTAAACTGCATCCAACAAATGTATAATTTCAACTTCCTATACTTTACCTCATTCACGACAAAAAGTTTATCTTTTCTGTCAAGTTTAGAATCTAATAAAATATTGAATAATTTGTAAAAAGTTTTGAATCCTTAAATCTTGTCATATAGTCACAGACAAATACGTAAACAACACAGATCTACCGTATAATAGATATGCAAATTGTTATTAATGTTATACGAGATAACACGCCATGTTACACTTTCCGTTGCTCTGCAACGTGCAACGCAATTTGAAGCACGGAGTCATGTTATGTAAAACGTATTCAAAGTTAAATGAAGAACTTTTCCTGCATTTTACTCCACCGACCTTTTCCTCAAAAAAACGTATCACAAAGACATGAAAGAAATATGAAAAAATATTAAAAATATCTGGAAAGTGAGAAAAATCCCATACACACTGATTTACTGCCAATTCTTGGGTTTCACTACGGCATTATGCAGTGAATCTGACGGGGGGTCAACCTCAAATGTATTGATGCTTATGCTGTACTGGAGTGAGAAAATGATACGAAATTCCATGTATTTGTCACCAAACACAAGGCTAATAAATAAAACGAGCAGTCGACTCACTCGGATAACTGTGTTTTGTTTTAGAGTTGATCCGCCGTCACTTTTGTGACGTTATATGAAACCCAAGAATACAGTGGAACCCCGCATTACGGTCATCCATTAATATACGGTCACCTCTTTATCGAGGCTACATATTACATACATGCCAAGACAAATGATTTTCTTATAAAGATACCCCGTTAATACGACCAATTATTATATGGCTTTTCAAATTCTCTATTCTGATTGGTTGACAAGCGGTCCGTAGAAACCCATATCCGGACCGTGGTCCGTATTTTCCGTATCTGGACTGGTGTCCCGGATGTCGTTTATCTGGCGGGAAATTTTTGCTTTGCAAACAGAAAATTTTTTTGCTTTTTAATTAAATTTCCAATTGTGCTTTACAGATAAAAATTTCCAAAAAAACCAAATTGTTTTTGATTGAGCATGCATGCCTATCGTATATTGTTACCCAGTAAAACTGACGATAGCCGATTTAATTCGCGCGAAAAGCATATGCTGACATGCAGACTCAGTTCATCCATGTAATAAACCGATTATTGACCTGGCTTGTTCGGCCTGTACTGTGAAATATCAGAAAACCTCGGTCTGATATTTCACAGTACAGACCTCACGCTCGGTCAATAACCCTTTATTATTTTCGGCCCGTCCTTGGCCGTATTAATGGGGTTCCACTGTACTTTAACACAACATCGCTCTATGTTCAAATTGCGTTGCTGCAAAAACTGCTTCACATGACCTTTAATTTACCTGATTTCGAATGAGGCATTAATGTCTGAAGATCATTCATAAGATGCCGAGCTCTGAAATTAAAAAATAGCAAATCTCGTTGGCTATGGAAACCTGGAAGGATAATATCGATCACAAAATATTTCAAATTCACTATCACCATAAACGCATTAATACAAGACCTGCCTCCCTTTAATATAATCATTCAATACACCTTTTTCATAATGACGTCGAACGCGAAGAAACAATTAATGCGATGTCCATGGGACAACTGTTAAAGACAATTCGCAACGAAAGTCGCTGTCAAGCCAATCAAATTGCATATGACCAGTCAATTTCAGAAGATTTTCCTGAAACTCCTGACATGGTTGACATGACCTGACATAACATGACACTACTGACATGACCTGCCACTCCTGACCACTCCTGAAATAACCTGACACTCCTAACATGACCTGATACTCCTGACACAACATGACACCACTGACATGACCTGACATAACATAACATTACACTACTGACATGATCTGACCACTCCTGAAATGACCTGACACTCCTGACATGACCTGACCACTCCTGAAATGACCTGACACTCCTGACATGACTTGACACTTCTGACATGACTTGACACTCCTGACATGACTTGACACTCCTGACATGACATGACACCACTGACTTGACCTGACACTCCTGACATGACATGACATGAGAAGATTCGTACTTTTTCTATTTCTTAAACAGGGAACTTAAACATTAAGTTAACCCTATTCCAAATACGTTTTTAAACTATTCAAATGATGAAAGTCATTATTGTTTTTAAGCGTTTATTAGCAAGTGGCAACGACCAACATGGCCGCCATCTATTCAAATGGGGGTAACCGCTGGAATATTCTTGGCTTCAATTTTACTAAAAGAGATGCGCTATCTAGAGTATATAAGATATCTATGCCTGACATTCCTGACATGACATGGCACCACTGTCATGACTTGACACTACTGAAATGACCTGACACTCCTTATATGACCTGACACTACTGACATGATCTGACACTCGTGACATGACCCCTGACACTCTTGACAACACTGACAAGCTGCTAAAAAACAGTCATTGCAGCGCGGCCGCCATAATGAAGTTCAGCGCGCTGGAATACGGGACTACATTAGACTTTTTTGCGAGGTTTGAAACAAAAAAGTGAAAAAATTGTGTTTTCACATTTCCCAAACAACTGAGATCAAATAAACAAAAGAGAGAGATAGATGGGTCGCTATATTCAATAGTAAAGACGAGAAAAAAATCTTAGCACTAAAATAAAGCGAGGTTGGAACAACACGAACACACATCAGTATATCTGCCAAAAGCACGCCAGACCTTAACCAGGGAAAAACAAGCAGTACCGGTATTTCGTTTGCATTTTCACGACTAATTACAGCTTACTTATAGTTTTTCAAAGCGGTATAAAGCTGATGGAATGCTATACAATGATGTGGCTTAACTGCATGGCTGTGGGGATTTAAAGATGTTCAGAAATCTCAGTTGATAAGTTGATTTAAACGATATGGTCAGGAATCGATTATTTGAGAAGCAACACAGACCGGTACCCACACCATAAAACTGTTTCGAAAATTTTCTTTGCAAAACATTTGTCATTTAATTGTTTGCATGAATATGGCACAAGTGGTATGTAACTTTATAAGAACAAGCATAGTACGATATATTGGAATAATTGGGTGTGCTGTCTAGGTTTTGTGTTAGATATAAAAATATCTGTAGAGAGAGTTGTGTAATGTATTTGAAGCATTTTTTTATGAATTTGCGTTAATATTTATACATTGGTGACCAGCATAAATGGCCGCGTCCACTCGATCCAGTGTGGCTCCCGGAGTCGTTTCCGACGGCGCGATATCGAGTTTTGGTTCGGAAAATTTGAGCTTCGTTCCGAGGCAAATGAGTGGAAAGAGGATGTTAAAACGTCTTCCAATGATTATATGTGGAAAAGCATTTGTGATTTTAAGCGACTTGAACAGGAAAAGAAAAACAATTTAAAAGTGGGCGTGAAGCTTTTGCGGCCGGTTTTGGAGGAGACGCGACTGGAAATCATATATCACAGATGGAATTAATCAAGCGAATCGGATATTTTGCTTATTATTATTATTATTATTATTATTAAATTGAAACCACATTGCAGCCAGAAGCTGAATTGCGTGGATTACATATTATCACATGCACTACATATAAATATATTATTAATACAATATTATAAAAACCCACCCACGATCAAAATTCGATTAAAATAAGCATAAAATCTATCCTACAAACTTCCTACACATAGCAAGGATAAAAGAGTTATAAAAGCGGTTCGTGCGTGTAACGTACATATTAAAATACCGATTCGTCCTGAAAGAATAATCAGTCTCGTTCTTCGGGGGCAGCAGATGATGAAGTTTATGCATTGGATCCTTGATGATACTCGTAAAGAGTTTGTCACACATGTCCTCTCTTCTTTGAAATAGAGTAGGCAGTCTAAAATACTCAATGGCCTCACAATATGTCATTTCAGGAGATAAAATTTTTAGCACACGTTTCTGGACAGTCTCAAGTTCGTCTGCCAAATACTTTGGGATGGAATGATGGAAGGCTTGCGCACAATACTCGAGCACAGGCCTGATCACTGTACAATAAAAGTTCAAGACATCATTGACATTTACGCTTGCCCGTTTCAATAGTACTATAAAATAGAGGCGTTTATTAGCTTTCTTTATACTCTCTCTGATGTTATCTTTCCCCTGAAGTGTGCCTGTCATAACAAGACCCAATATTTTTGCACTCTCAACTATAGGCAATGCTTCTCCACCCACCAGTACAGGATCAAAATGTTGTTTAATTCTTTTAAAATCGATTCTCAGTTCTTTACATTTCTCAGTGTTAAGAGATAGCCCATTTGCCTTCGACCAATCTTCCACAACATCAACTGCAACTTGAACACGGCTCTCTGTGTCCTTACTAACTACTTCAGCAACTGTTGTGTCATCAACAAACTTCCACCTCGATATATCACAAATATCAAGATCGTTTATCATTAAACAAAATAGCCAGGGCCCTAATTTTGTACCTTGAGGGATACCGGAAAGTACATCTCCCCACTCCGAATAGCAGTCATTGGATAATTTCACTCTCTGCTTTCGATTCATCAAAAAATCGATTGTCCAGCGAGCAACCGCACGTGGAATAGCTAAATTGGAAATTTTATCAGCCAGTAAAGCATGATCGATAAGGTCGAATGCTTTTCTATAATCGAACAGGATGACTCTGACAGCAGAGCCAGTGCCATCAGTAACTTGCGACCATTCATGGATCATAGATATAACAGCGAGAGTAGTTGAACTTCTTGGTATTACTCCATATTGACTTGGATCGATTATACTCATGATAGCTGGAGCAATGTATTTTTTAACAACACAGTCCTCGGCGATTTTCGAAATAGCGGCAGTAAGTGAAATTGGTCGTAACTGCTTACAAATGTCGCTAACGGGCTTAGTTTTTATGAGGGGCACAATGTTGGCAAGCTACCAAGATTTAGGTAGTTGTTGTTCGGCATAGCTGCTGTTTAGCACAGCGCATACTGGCTGTGCAAGGATTTCAGCATATTCCTTAAGAGCCCAATTGGGAATTTCGTCAGGACCTGACGCCTTTCCACGATTAATTGCTTTCAGTAAATGAAAGACTTCCAATTCGTTCACTTGAAAAGAGGAATAATTATCAAAGGGGGGAAGGGTTGACAGTGGATTGAAGGAGTTCATGGGCTCCAAAAAGGCGTTATTAATTAAATTCGCAATGTCAGGACGTTGCATATTCTCGATATCGTTTAAATGAAGTTGACTACATAGGTCATCGGAGCCGGTTGTAGGTACCATACCAGCAATCTGCTTCACCTCCTTCCACCATCTCTTCGGTTTGGTCGATTTAAGATTCTTTACTTTTGAAGAGTAGAATTTCGCCCGGCATGTCTTTCGCTCGCGGTTAACCCGATTCCGGTAATACTTAAACTGAAAGGTATTTCCACTGCAGAAGGCAGCTTGACGCTTCCTTATAAGCTCTTTAAATTCTGCAGTAATCCATGGAGGATCGTGTACATGCAAAGCCGTTTTCTTTATTGGCATAATGGTGCTAATACCGAGACGTACTAACTCTTCGAAATACTGGAGTTTCATTTCGTGAAACTCGTGCTCTCTTGACGTGCTCGCGTGAGCTCGTGCTCTCTTGACTTGCCAATCAGTTATGCGTTCGTACGGTTCATGTAGCTTTTTCAGTTTTTTCGCGGAATACTGGTAAGCATAAAGACTCAAAATTTGTGTTTTTAAATTTCTGGTTGGAGCATTTTTGTGCGCTTGCATAAGGGTAATCAGCTCATCTGAAACATTTTCAGTCTCTTGCTTGGGTAACTGCACACACGATTGCAAAAGTTCATCTCCAGCCTTTGGTGCTATTACTTCGCATACGATCTTGCATCCTTCCATTGCTTTATCAATGCAGATTTCCTTTTCCTCCTGTGTTGCTTCCTCCCACGTTGTATTTAATTGAAATGTCAAAGG